ATAAGCCTGATTAAGTTTTGGCCCTGGGGCTCCATCAGGTATGTTGTTAGTCAAGTCAAGATGTTAGCTACAATGGTGGGATAAAGAAAAATCCACTTTTTAAATATGAACTGTTGACACCTCGTTTTGTTTGTAGAAGTAGGCATCCTGGTGGTCCCTTCCAAGTCTATAATCCTAGGATGCAAACATGGGTCTTCTATGAGAATTTGGAAAGGGTTGTAAAGAGTGTCACAACTGCTTAAGTTAAAAGGATGTAAAAGTTCGGCAGTTTGGCGGTTCGAATCCCTAGCACCGCATAACAGAGTGAACTCCCATTCCTTGTCCCAGCTTCTGCCAACCTAGCAGTTCGAAAGCATGTAAAAATGCAAGTAGAAAATTAGGGACTACTTTGGTGGGAAGGTAGCAGCATTCCATATGCCTTTGGCTTTTAGTCATGCCAGTCACATGACAACAGAGACGTCTTCAGTCAGTGCTGGTTCTTCGGCTTTGTAACAGGGATGAGTACCGCCCCCTAGAGTCAGAAACGACTAGCACCTATGTGCAAGGGGAACCTTTACCTTTAACCTTAAAAGACAGGTAAAAAGGATAGAGAACCATCATTGTCTTTTCAACAATGCCTCGTATTTTTTTAAGGGTACCTGTGGAACTTTACCCATGGAACACTTGAAGTTTAGAAGGAATGTTTCTGAAGGATATTTAAGAGCACAAAACTCAGAAAGGATTACAGATAGTCTTTGACCAGAGGTGGTATTCAGCAGGTTCTGACCAGTTCTGGAGAACTGGTAGCGGAAAGTTTGAGTAGTTCAGAGAACCAGCAAATACCACCTCTGACTGGAGATTTTAAAGTATCCTTCCCCTGCCACGCCCACCAAGCCATGCCCGCAGAACCAGTAGTAAAATGTTTTGAATCCCACCACTGTCCTCGACTGACAACTATTCGTTTTATGACTGTTCAAAGTTACAATGGTACAAAAAAAACTGCCTTATGGCCATTTTTCACATTAACGATCCTTGCAGCGTCCCCGTAGTCACATGATCAAAATTCAGATGCTTGGCCATTGGCTCATATTTATGATTTAACAGATTTAACAGATAAAGAGTTGGAGGGGACCTTGTAGGTCATCTAGTCCAACCCCCTGCCCAAACGGGAGACGCTACACCATTTCTGACAAATGGCAGTCCAATCTCTTCTTGAAAGTCTCAAATGATGGCACTCCCACAACTTCCGAGGGCAAGGTGTTCCATTGGTTGTTCTCACTGTCAGAAAGTTTCTCCTTATTTCCAGGTTAAATCTCTCCTTGTTCAGTTTCCATCCATTATTCCTTGTCTGGCCTTCAGGTGCTTTAGAAAATAGCTTGACCCCTTCCTCCCTGTGGCAGCCCATCAAATATTGGAAGACTGCTATCCTGTCTCCCCTGGTCCTTCTCTTCACTAGACTAGCCATGCCCAGTTCCTGCAAGTGTTCATTGTATCTTTTAGCCTCTGGTCCCCTATGATGGTTATAGTGTCCCTAGGATCACGTGACAATCTTTTGTGACCGTCTGACAAGCAAAGTCAAGGGGGAAGATAGATTCATTTAACAATAGTAATAGCACTTATATATCACTTCGTAGTGCTTCTACAGCCCTCTCTAATCAGTTTCAGAGTCAGCCTCTTGCCCCCAACAATTTGGGTCCTCATTTTAACCACCTCAGAAGGATGGAAGGCTGAGTTCAACCTTGAGCTGGGTGAGATTCGAACTGCCGAACTGCCGAACTGCAGCTAGCAGTCAGCTGAAGTAGCCTGTACTCTAACCCCTGCGCCACCTCGGCCCATGTTACTAGCTTAAGAACTGCAGTGATTCACTGAACAACTGTGTCAAGAAAGGTAATAAAAGAGGGCAAAACTCATTTAACAAATGCCTCACATAGCAACATAAATTTTGGGCCCAATTACAGTCATAGGTCAAGGACTACCCTGTATTCCAGAGTCATATTCTGTTTATGAATATGTTTAGGCCAAGGTTCTTCAAACTTGGCAAGTTTAAGACTTGAGGACTTCAACTCCCAGAATTCCTGAGCTAACACGAGTGGAGGAGGAATTTTGGGAGTTGAAGTCCACAAGTCTTAAAGCTGTCAAGTTTGAAGACCCCCTTGTCTAGGCTCAGGAGATGAGTTTTGCTCACCTCTGGTGTTCTGCTCATGCTTCTTTTTCTCCCCCCCCCCTTTGTAGCTCAAGTGACTTTGGATCCAGACACAGCTCACCCCAAACTCATTATATCTGAGAATCGGAAAAGCTTGATCCTAGGAAACTGGCCTAGACTTCATTCCCATTGCTCTAAAAGATTCGATCAATGTCTTTTCATGCTGGCATGTGAGAAATTTAACACAGGCAGGTGCTACTGGGAAGTCACTGTAGGCAGTGAGGATGGCTGGGGCCTGGGAGTTGCCAAGGCCTCTGTGAAGCACAAAGGCATTGTTTCCCTAGATCCCGGAGAAGGAATCTGGGCAATGGCGAAGTGGGGAGACCACGGTACAGTTCTCCTCCTGATTTCCCCACCTTGCCTATGAAGTGGGATCTCCAGAGGATCTGAGTATCTCTGAATTATATTGGAGGCCGACTGTCCTTTTTTGACACAGATAGAGGGATTCTGTTAGCTGTCTTCTCGGGGCCTTCATTTTCTGAAGAACCACTTCACCCTTTCTTTTGGCTTCAGAGAAAAGGTCAACTCATTCTCTGTCATTAAAACAGTTCAACCTTGCTTGTAGACCATACACTTACACCAGATCTCCGTTTCCTTGTATCTCATTTCCACATCATCCTAATCTTCCAGCTACTGAGGATTGAAACGGCTCAATTTCTAGGTTCATGAAGGCCCGATTAGTAAAGCAGCCATCCTCGATCTGGTATGTTGGAGAAGAACATCTGGAATTCTCAACATTGAAAATCCAGTCCACCAAGAAGATACCTAGTTGTGGATGGGTGACTTAATGGTGCTCCTCACTAAGTGAGAAGCTTCTTTTCAAAATCTCTTGAGAAGAGAGACGGTGATCCTTAACTTGGGTTTTGTCAGGGATTAGTAATGTTTGAAGAGTTGGGACCCACAATTCATGTCTCCCAACCTTCTAAGGGGCTGTAGGAGACATTCTGATGGGCTATGAACAATGGATGTTGCCAATATTTCCTGCTGTTTAAAGCTTGGGAAGGGAGTAGGAGGCCTCTAGAGGCAAACCATTTTCATTCCCATTTGCAACTATCCAAAACCTGAAAGGCAAGAAACCTCCCAGGAAAATCCAGCCATTTTGGACAGGGACTGTATGATTTAAGCATGCTGGCCCATGTTGTGAGAGTTGTGAGCTGCCTTCTCAACTTTTCTCACTCTCTTTCCTATAAACCAAAGGAATATAGTTACCTAAAGCAGCAGCCCTCAACCTTTTGGGCGGTAGGGTAGGAACCAGTTCCATGGAGGGTGTTTTTTCTGTGAACCCGGGGGAGGGACATTGTTTCACTCACTTGCATGACCCAATTCCTGGTGGCCACAAACCAGTGCTGGTCCGTGACCTGGAAGTTGGGGACTCCTGACCTAAAGAATGGAACTGACATTTGGAAAAGTATTGTGATTCCCTCTATTGCTCTGTAACAAACTAGCTGATTGTAGAGCAGAACCAAATAGTACTTAGAAGACATGTTCTTTGCTGTTTTTTATACTGTGTTTTTTTACATTTATGGATATTGAATGTTCTGCAATAAATTAAAGTTTCCTTTTGTTGTAGACTTCCTGTGCTTTCCAAAATACAGAGCTCTCTGCATCTAGAACCCCTTTTGTTCTGGATGATTGCTCCATCAAGGCATATTGAATAATCTAAAATGGTTTGTCTCATATCCTTACACTGCCTGAAAAATAACAAGCTGAAATAATTGTTCCACAGAAAGGGGAAGATGCACATGTGGTAGGACTAAATATACCAGTTTCATACCAGAAAGAGGTGGCACAGTGGTTAGAAATCAGGTTAACTTTTATTCCACTTTCTGGCTTTTTTGAACAAGGATTTTCTGTGTCAAAGAATTCCAGTTCATAATAAAGTTCTTGTGGTAAGGCACGGACAGTGTCACAAGATTCTTTCTGGTTTACTACTGAAACTGATCTCTTGTATTTTATTCATGACTTGGATGTTCTTTTATCAAATTTGCAGATGACTGGAATAGCTAACACGGGAGGAAACTAACACATTCAAAATTATTTAAAACTGATAAAGGAAATTTAAGCTGCATCAACAAATATAGTTTCCAAATGACAAGAAATAATACTTCCAGTTTATTCTACACTAATCAGAGCATGCCTTGAATATGATAGCTACTTCTGAAACCACAGAGGAAAAAAATTAAGAGTAACTGAAGTCAAAGGAAGAAATCAGGTTGACCAGGGAAACAGGATACTGTATTGGAGGGTTAAAAAGGAGTTTCAGGCTAATAGTGTATTTGTGTGTATTGTGGGTTGTTAAAGCTACTATACTTTTTAAAAAGTGCAGAGGTGACAAAATTCAAAATAGTCTGAATATCGCTGTCAGTTTTTTTTTTTATCACAGCCAGGTTGCCATAATGTGCCGGGCCATCATGCATCATGTATATATTGAAAATTATCTGTCTATCTTCCTACCTCATGTTATCTACCCATGTCTCCAGTCTTTCATCCACCTAAACAATTGGATTCCCTTTTAGAATTCACTATCAGGTGCTCCTTGGTGTTCACATCAGGTCTCAGAATACCACAGTCAGATGTTTTTTATAATAACCAGATTGCCATAATGCACCAGGCCCTCATGGAGTTTATCTGATTTAGCACTAGCATTTTATGTGAATCCTGTCGTAAATCATGTTTTAACACTGTGTCTGACTTATCAAATAAGAGGCATCAAAATATGGCTTCATGTATATTTTATCTTTATTTACCTCCTATTTTTCTACCTTCCCTCTACTTCCTACACGACCGTCCATCCTTCCATCTACCTGTATGTAAAACATTATGTTCCCTTTTTAGAATTCACTGTTAGGTGCTCCTTGGTATTCATGTCAGGTCTTAGGATAATGATGTAGCATTTGGGAACAAAGATGCAGCCCATTAAGCCCAGACTGGAGGCCAGAATGGAGAAGATCTGCACAGCCATCATGTATTTTCCTTTGGTGCTCAGGTAGGTTGGGACAAAGGAAATCCAAACACTACAGAAAACCAACATGCTGAAGGTGATCAACTTGGCTTCATTGAAGGTCCCTGGCAGCTTGCGTGCTAGGAAAGCCACCAAGAAGCAAATTGCAGCCAGGAGGCCCATGTAACCCAGTGCAATATAGAACATGATGATTGACCCTTCGTTACATTGCAGCAGGATATACCCTGGTTGAGAATGCATGTCAGAGTCTGGGAATGGGGGAGAGATTCCAAGCCATATCATGCAGATGCCCACCTGAATCCCAGAGCAGGATACAACAATAGAGTTGGCCAGAGTCTTTCCCAACCATTTCCTCATCCTGCTGCCTGGCTTTGTGGCCAGAAATGCCACCACCACCATGATAGTCTTTGCCAGCAGTGAAGACACAGCAACTGAGAAAACAACACTGAAGATGCTTTGTCGAAGAAGGCAGGTCACTTTCTTGGGGCGTCCAATGAATAGAAGGGAGGTCAAGAAGGAAAGGAGAAGAGCAATCAGAAGAATGTAGGTCAGGTCCCTGTTGTTGGCTTTGACTATGGGAGTTTCTCTGTATTTAGTGAAGATTCCCAAAACAAAGGCATTGATTAAGGAGAAAGCAAGGGTAAAGGAAGCCAGAATGAATCCCAATGTTTCTTCATAGGACAAGAAGCTTATACTTTTGGGGATACACTTATTCCGCTTCTCATTGGAATACTGGTTATCTGGACACTTGTTGCAATGGGCTGCATCTGAAAAACATTGGCTATGTGTAAGTATTTGTGTAACTGTAACAAAAAAAAAATGCAACTGGAACCAATACTTTCTACAATACCTAAAACATGTTTTTGAAAGTGATGGGGTAGGAGAAGGATATTGTGAGAACTGGAGAATTTATTAAAAAATACTTTCTCACTATACTTCATGAAAGTATCTAGGATAATGAGAAAAAAAATTCATGAATGATGAACAGTGTGTAATAGGGAAGACGTTCTATGGAACAAGGAGCTGAATATGACTTGAAAGATGAAAACGTAGTGCACCATTGTCTTTTGAATCCTATTAGAGGTTCTTGGTTTCCTTTTATTCTCCAGAGCCACCTACCTTCTTCCACTGAGAATGTTCCTTCCATACACAGAGAACAGTCATGGCAGCAAACAGGTGCTCCTTCTCTCATGAGCTTGGCATATCCTGGGTAGCAATTTTCTGTACATCTAGAAGAAGGCACTGTCTTAAACATAAAAATAAAGATAGAAATTAAGGCACCACAGTAGAGGTATTTTCAAGAAACTCACGAACCAAGGAGCTCAGAAAACAATTGGAGAAAACAAGGAATACTGATATAACAGTTACTGATCTGTTACTGACCCCCCCCCCCCCGGCACCATCTCCTTTCTTTTCTAACTGGAAGAGGTACCATATAACATTGACTTTTCAGGAAAAGAATCCTGGGATAAATTTGAAAACTAGTTATGATGTGTGGGAATGCTATATACATTGTAATTTCCTTTCAGTCTTTGCTTTGGTAGGAAACTCCCAAAATCTGGCTTTCTTTGTCACTGCAAATGTCCCTGCATTCCTCTCCTCTTGCTGAACATTGTATCATCGTACATAAATGACTTTTCACAACAGCCAACATTTCTCCCAACAGATTTTTTTAACCTGACGCCTTTCATGTAATTCAATGGACTACTCCAGTGGTGGGATTCAATTTTTTTTACTACCAGTTCTGTGAGCGTGGCTTGGTGGACATGGTGTGGCTTGGTGGGCATGGCAGGGGAAGGATATACTGTAAAATCTCCATTCCCTCCCCACTCCAGGGGAAGGTTACTGCAAAATCCCCATTCTCTCCCCAGCCCACTAATCTGCTTTCTAGCTCTGTTCTCCTGTGCAGGGCAACAAAAGAAGACCCAGCCGATCAGCTGGGACTTGGGAGGCAGAGAATAGATGGGGGCGGGGCCAGTCACAGATGGTATTTGCCGGTTCTCCAAACTATTCAAAATTTCCACTAATGGTTCTCCAGAACTGATCAGAACCAGAGGTGGTATTCAGCAGATTCTGACCAGTTCTGGAGAACCAGTAGCAGAAATTTTGAGTAGTTTGGAGAATCGGCAAATACCACCTCTGACTGGAGATTTTAAGGTATCGTTCCCCTGCCACACCCACCAAGCCTCGCTCACAGAACTGATAGTAAAAAAATTTGATTCCCACCATTTGTCAGAATCTACTGAATACCACCTCTGGGCTATAATACCACCTCCCTTCCCTTGAACCTTTGTCTTTACTATTCTTGAAAAGAAGATTGTTATTTTGTTGTTTATTACAATATCATGTTTAATAATGTAGGCAGCAAGGGCTTCAATGCAATTGGTAGTGTAGCTGGTTTCCAGTTTGTGACAAACTATTGAAAAATATTTTAAAATTACATGATATCTAATGAATTACTGAGTTTTAGTTTCCCCTATTTGGAGATCTTTTCAGCTACCTTGTTAAATGATGTTGGCCATTGGATGGCACTCTGGTTGATGGAGACCTTGACTTCAGAAGCAGTTTCTCTTTCTACACTCCCAACCTTCACTGCAGGGTAAGATTTTTGGGGAAACATTCTCAAGTGTATGATATCAAAATCAACTGCAGGAACTCCATTTTCATCCAAATAAATGCTATCATTTAAAATGTTATGAAGCTGAAAGTTTCTCATGAACTGATGAAGCTGCAAAGACATAGAAAATCACACAAGGAGCAAACACATTCCCATTTGAACCTTTATTCAATGTTTTTCTGGCTATTATTCTGGAAATGTATTGAATAATTTATATGTTTCAGCTCAGCATTTTGGTTTTAAAAGGATGATTCGGTATTTTATTGGAAGCTTCTTTTGCTTCTTTCTCTTGAACACAATATTTTTTAGATATGCCTTTCATTTTATTGAAGGAATCAATAAACTGATTTGTTAAACCAGAGCTCAGCGTAATAATTTTAAGGAAAAATTAAAATTAAATAATGCTGGAAGTTTAAATTTTTACTGAACTTATTTCTGATGCAGAATAAAAATACTTAAAATGCTTAGGTTGGAGATTCTTATTTTCATAGATATATGTGTGTAACAAACTGCTCTTAAACTGTAAATCAGCTGATTCCTGTAGTGGGATAGATCTGTATTTTAGCTATCTATTGCTATCAGAAGCTGATCTGAGAATTGCTGGAGTAGCCTGAAGCTTATTTAATTTACAAATTGGGGAGGAGGAGTACTTTGTCACCATGGAGATACTTGTCATTGCAGCATCCCAAATTAAACTGGTTTCAGTTTGCAAGAGTTATCTTTATAATTTCTCTCACTCACTTACAAATACTACAAACTGGGAAACTGCTGTTTGGAATATCACATCCTACACCCAATTTTAATATGTATGAAGTGAAAGGGGAGCACCAGTGGAACCTCAAAGGAGAAGGCTTACCTGCCAAGGCTGCACAATCAGAGATGACTGATGGTCTCCAACTAGCATCCTCCTCTTACTCAGCTGGGAGGAAGAAGCAGCACTGAGGACTGAGGCCACAGCATGGATTGCTCTGGAAATACTGGAGCCATCCTCAATTATCATTCTATCAAGCGCCTCAAGGGGTGGTAATAGCCTACTCTCTTTTTCTGTACATCTTTCCCAAACTTTTTTAGACCATAAAGGCTTTGAATAGGAACACTGAAACACTTCCTTTACAAACTCTTTCTCAGAAGAGGAATATGAATTAAAGTTATAATATTGTCTCCTGTTTGTCTGAGTGAAGAAGGAAAACAAAACATGCTTACGTTGGAGATCGAGTTTGTTGGAAAACATTCTTATGCTTAATTTTGACAAAGTTGTTGCAATCCACACTTTTCCCTCAATGAATATATTATTCTTTTCATTAATGATTATGACTGTTAGTAGCATTGCTGTGGCATGAAAATCTAGTTGACATACTATAATTTTTATGTGGATATTAATAAGGAGAAGGAACATTTTTTTTTGTTCTTGCACAAAAAAATCTCCAGTATGTATATTCAGATTTGCTGCTGGGATGATTTGTGAGAGGATGATGCAAATCTGATTTTTTACAGCTAGAGTTTCCAAGCTTCTTTTAAAGTTTTCTCCTCTTTCATTGTCTTGAGAAAAAAGGCCGATCCACGTCCATCGGAAATGCAGGAGAAGCTGGACAATAGCTGAGTAGGGAGGCTCTTGTTTTGGGATCATCCGATAGAAAAAAGGAAAATGATGACTTTGCTGAATAATGTGGTTGATAGCACCACAGTTGATCTGTGAGGAAAGAAGATAATGGTCCTTTACCAATAGCAATAGTGCTTAGACTTATATACCGCTTCACAGTGTTTTATAGCCCCCTTTAAGCGGTTTACAGAGTCAGGATATTGCCCCCAACAATCTGGGTCCTCATTTTACCCACCTCAGAAGGATGGAAGGCTGAGTCAAAACTGAGCCCAGTGAAATTTGAACTGCCAAATTGCAGGCAGCCAGCAGTCAGCAGAAGTAGCCTGCACTCTAAATATTGCGCCACCACAGCTCATAAGATCATTTTAGCTTCCTACCTGTGGAATTTTGTAGATGCCCAAGACAGTAGAAATATGATCAAAGAGTTCAGAATCTGTCTCTTCAAAAACTGCCAGGAGATTCTTTTGTCTTCCACATCTGTAATTTGGGACATGCTCCTGCCCTGTAGACAGCAAGTCCATCATGACCTCATATGTTACTCTTGCATTGAGAAAGTTATCATAGATGTTGTAGCCCAAGGTGATGTTGGGTAGGAGTCTAGGATTCTGGTTGATCTTATGAACAGCCGAGAAGAAGAGCAGGAGGTCATGGAATATTGTCGACTCGCTGCAAAATAACATCTACTGTATAGAATGACTCTGGGCAGCTCATAAACATTGATAAAACATGGTTAAAACTTACTCCTACTCTGGAAGCCAGGCCAGGCATTCTCACAGTTTCACCCACTGTAGCCCAATCTTTGAGGAAGTGAGTGAGTGAGGTCTTTGTACCAGTGGTGCGATTCAATTTTTTTTACTACCAGTTCTATGGGCATGAATTGGTGGGTGTGGCAGGGGAAGGATACTGTAAAATCTCCAGTCAGAGGTGGGATTTGCTGGTTCTCTGAACTACTCAAAAATTCTGCTACCAGTTCTCCAGAACTGGTCAGAACCTGCTGAATACCACCTCTGCTTTGTACCCCTCCAAAATTCTCAAAGGAGAGTTTTGCCACATGTGCATATAGGTTCTCATAATGTTACATTATTTCTTCCTCTTGTATCAACTGGAAAGTGACGTATGGATGGATTCAAGTACTGGATTCAGTCAGTAAGTGGTATTATCACTACTCAACAAACTATCTTTAGAGCCAAGGACTGTTTTGTGGTTAAATATTGATGTCTTTGGAGTTAGTGCCTTTTAGTCAAAAAATCTTCAATGTGATCCTCTATAGTTATAACATTAGCTTATTATGTAAGGTCTCTAAACCTTTGTGAATTTAGTCTTTAAAATTATTATTATTATTATTATTATTATTATTATTATTATTATTATTATTATTATTATTATTATTATTATTATTATTATTATTAACCACGGTGGCACAGTAATTAGGGTGGAATACTGCAGACTACTTCTGCTGACTGCCGGCTACCTGCAGTTTGGCGGTTCAAATCTCACTAGGCTCAAGCTTGACTCAGCCTTCCATCTTAATGAGGTGGACCCAGATTGTTGGGAGCAATAGGCTGACTCTATAAACCTCTTAGAGAGGGTTGGAAAAGCACTGTAAAGCAGTATATAAGTCTAAGTGCCATTGCTACTTAAATCAAAAGTAAAATGGAAACCACAAAAGCCTATAAAACAGGTAAAAGGCATCAGTTGGAAAAAATGTTGGAAATGGAGGCAGGAAGGACAGAATGCAAGATAGGAAAGGAGAGAAGATTGTGGTAAGCAAGCTCAAAAAGTCACTGTCAGCCATTTGACTATGAGATTCTGGGCAATTATATAACTATGAAATATAAATAAAAATATATATTCTCTGAATCTCTACAGTATCAAGGAAATAATTTTCAGAAGAGAAAGAACCCCATCCAAGCAAGAGTTAGAAGGGTTCTACCAAAATTGGTCAATTAAAACAGACCCTGCAAGAGGACTGAAAAGGCACTTTGCAATGCTCAACTTTTAAAGATCCATCCTGTGCCCAGAATCCTTTCCCTTAAAACAAATTGGGAGAAGCACTAATGACCTGTCCTTTTCAGGGTGAGAAGTTGGGAAAAGAGAAAACATTGGGGAGGGTAAACTCAATCACCAGAATCCTGTAGATGCCAAATTACCTTCTCAATCTGTAGGTTGGAGGCTTGGAGAAAACATGTGGGTAAAATTGAGAAATTATTTTAGAAGTAATTCCAGTAATCAGGTAGTCTCCTGGCTTCTGGAAATTAAACTGCTTCAATCCTTCTATTGCCATCTTCAATGAACATTTTGTCTGCATTGTTACACAGGGAAATTGGGACAGAAGCAGAAGCAGAAAAAGCTGCATTTTTTTTTTAGCAGTAGCACTTGATGTGTGTTGATGGAGGTCCTACATTGCTCTCTCTTTCACGGTGTGGGGTCTCAGAGCTCACAAAATGAATTCTGTGCCGTGAAGATTTTTCCAGTTTGCCCCAGATCTGAAAGAGGAACCCACAGTTTCAAACTAGCACAGTGCTAATTCCTCCTCTTCACTCAGCAATGTTTGAGGTAGATACAGGACAGATGCTCAGTTGTTGCATATTCGCTTTTTGTTGGATTGCATTAAAACTAAATGTGGTGGTGGAAATCCCATAAGCCTTTTTTTTAAAACTAGAACAAATCACAATGATTTTAGTAATTAGAAGGGGAAATGGGAATGACTGATGTAACAGAGGTGTGTAGTTGGAGAAAATAATTTTGCAGGGCTCAGGGGTATAATCCGAATTTAAGCATCAGGAGGGGAACAATTCAGGGACCTTTGACTGCCTTTTACCTTATAAACAGAGGTGGTATTCAGCAGGTTCTGACCAGTTCTGGAGAAACGGTAGCGGAAACTTTGCGTAGTTCAGAGAACCGGCAAATATCACCTATAATTGGAGATTTTACAGTATCCTTCCCCTCCCACACCCACCAAGCCACACCCACAGAACTGGTAGTAAAAAAAAATTTGAATCCCACTACTGCTTATAAACCTATTCTTGAGGTCCTAAAGATTGTCATGTGGTAAAACAATGGAATACTTTGTCACTAGCCAGTGGGGACATTATAATTCACTTTGTCTGGTACTGATGAGGCCTTCTTCTTGAACAAAGGTAAGACACTCCAGAAAGTTATCCCAAGATCATGAGATTGTTTTTCATGAAGACTTTTCTGAATATTGCCCCGTATGGGTTTATAGTATGAGTAGGCACTCAGGGATTGACTGATTATAGGCTGCCATTTGGGTATCAACAACTAGTGACGTGATAGCTAGACTTTCTCCAATGTGACACAACAGCGATTGGTCTCATTTGAGACAACGATGAATCTGCATACAGACAGGAGGTTATACAACTTGCCTCATGGTGTAACCGGAACAATCTGGAACTGAACACACTCAAAACTGTAGAAATGGTGGTAGACTTTAGAAGAAACCCTCCCATACTACCACCTCTTACAATACTAGACAACACCATATCAACAGTAGAGACCTTCAAGTTTCTAGGTTCTACTATATCACATCACCTAAAATATGACCTAACATCAAAAACATCATCAAAAAAGCACAACAAAGAATGTTCTTTCTGCGCCAACTCAGGAAGCTCAAACTGCCCAAGGAGCTGCTGATACAGTTCTACAGAGGAATTATTGAGTCTATCATCTGCACCTCTATAACTGTCTGGTTTGGTTCTGCAACCCAACAGGACAGACACAGATTTCAGAGAGTAATTAGGACTGCAGAAAAAACAATTTCTACCCACCTGCCTTCAATCGAGGACCTGTATACTGCATGAGTCAAAAAGAGGGCTGTGAAAATATTTAGAGACCCCTCACATCCTGGACATAAACTGTTTCAACTCCTCCACTCAAAACGATGATTTAGAGCACTGCACACCAGAACAACTAGACACAAGAACAGTTTTTTCCCCCAAAAGCCATCACTCTGCTAAACAAATAGTTCCCTCAACACTGTCCAACTATTACAAAGTCTGCACTACTATTACTGTTAATCTTGTCATCACTCCTTATCACCCATTCCCTCCCACTTGTGATTGTAGGGCTGTAACTTTGTCTCTTGTATCCTTATGATTTATATTGACTGTTTTCTAGTATGATTTGATTGCTGATTGTACCCTATGACTATCATTAAGTGTTGTATGTTATGATTCTTGATTCTTAACTAATGTATCTTTTCTTTATGTATACTGAGAGTATTTACACCAAGACAAATTCCTTGTGTGTCCAATCACACTTGGCCAATAAAGAATTCTATTCTATTCTATTCTATTCTATTCTATTCTATTCTATTCTAT